GAGGATGATCTCAAGCGAAACGGCCCGGACCATCAAATTTTTGTGAGAATGTCTCTGCTCCGCGTTCCCTCGGCCGGAGTTAGCTTCTATCACAACAGCACCCCGTTCAGCAAGCTGTTTGGGGAACAACAGCACCCCGTTCAGCAAGCTGTTTGGGGAATAATGAACAGGCCGAAAAAACAGAGTAGACAATACGTAAGCGAAACAACGTTTTTTTGTCTAAACACATAAGCATGCATTTGCGATGCAGGGGCAAATGATTCAAATATAAAACAGAACCTGATATGGAAACTAAAACTCGCGTTCATATCCAGTCTGCCTTAGTTCCAACGCGTGCGCATAGATTGCTTCAAACACGCTCCTTTCTGACGTCCTTCTGTGTGTTCGAATGGTCATCGCGCGAAAAGGAATCATACTGTATGCCTTCACTCAATGCGACTAAAGCTCGGATCTCAAACTTACACTGGTTTACGCGGTTTCGCTCGTCACAGAGACCAAAGAGACTCGAAACTCATTCAGCAACTACGAGACTCAAATCAAGCAACTCGCGCAAAACTCCAGCAGGCGCCGCGGGCCACGAGAGAGTCCAAGGGAGGTCCACCTGCCCGTTCAGGGGGCCACGACCCACAACAGAGGCCCGCCCAGAGTGGTTCGACGGTGCGCCCACCGTCGTCGTGCAACCGCCGCGCAAGATTTGACAACGCTGGGCTGCCCTGAAGGGTTGAACGGTGCCCGCTAACAAAACTCGACAACGAAATCTTGGACCCGACGGTCACCCCAGTCCCGCAGCGACAGGACTGATGTTGGAAGACAACCGTTTGAAGACACTGAGGCATGCCAAAACATTATTCTCGGGACTCCAACGCTACGGATTAACCTGACTGTTGCGTCTTGACGATCCTGACTCGTGCCAGAACGTCATTCCTGGGACTTCGACACCGCGAATCAGCGTAACTGCTGCACCCTCATAGCCCCGAATCTTTCTTAATCGTCATTTCTGGCATGTGCGCTGATCATATCTGATCATGGGACTCCGTGAAGCTCTTGCAAACGTTTGAAACGAATGCATGCGGCGCTAAAGCGAGAACCACAACCTGTTGAATACTACCCTCCCTGAATCCGTGAAGCTCTTGCAAATGTTAAAGACGAATGCGCGCGGCGCTAAGACGAGAACCACATGTTGAATACCACCCGCCCTCAATTTGCAAAACTCTTGCAAATGTTTAAAGCGACTGTGCGCGGCGCTAAGGCAAGAGCCACATTTGAAAACCACCAGCTCTCCATCTGTGAAGCTGTTGTCAACGTTTAAGCTTCAGGGTCATAAACGGTGAGGAAGTCTCAGGCGAAACGCCCAGCCCGCCCTAGAAACGGGCCTCGGAGTGCGACAGGGAGAAGTTATCTTTAAGGAAAAGGATGGAGGAGGAGGAGGAGGAGGAGGAGGAGGAGGAGGAGGAGGAGGAGCAGGAGCAGGAGCAGGAGGACGAGGAGGAGTAGGAGGAGGAGTAGGAGGAGGAGGAGGAGGAGGAAGAGGAGGAGGAGGAGGCGGAGGCGGAGGAGGAGGAGGGAAAGCGAGGAGTAGAGGGCCTTCTCAGAAGGCGGCGGTGCCTCTCAGAAGTGCCCTGGCCTTCTGAGAATATGTTTAAGAAACTTCTCGGGAGGACGGGGGACTTCCGAGTCTTCTGAGAAAACCCGCCCCTTCTCACTTCCCCCCCGGGCTCGCCGCCGAAGCAAGGATTCTTAGAATGTTCCGTTGGGGGTCTTCCCGGATCCATCGGCCTGAATATTGGCTTCGTGCACGCGTGCATGATATTCATGTTCTAATGCAACGGCGTCCAAGGCATCATCGAGCCCGTCTGTTTCATGAAGTGGACTGTGGATCTGAGGAGAACAATGACCGTGTCGGGAGGAAGGGGTTGGGAGAATGAAGGGTATGAGCAACAGCATCTGGATGCCATGAACGATACCTTCGGCCGCCTACGGGTACAGTAGTGACATCCTCATGTCTCCCAGCCCCATCTTATGTTGCATCCTCGGGGGACCTTGTCTGTCTCGTCGCGGCCCTGCCCGCGTCGAATCCGTGTCGAATCCATGTCGGACGCGTCGGATCCGTGTCGAATCCGTGTCGAATCCGCGTCGAATCCACGCCAAATCCGCGTCGAGTCCGGATCGAGCACGCGTCGGGCACAAAAAGAGACACCAATTTTGGGGGACAGGCGGGGCCCCCCGAAGATGCAACGTAATGTCTCCCAGCCCCATCCTCCCAACCCGATAACTGTGCTCCTGAGGATCCTGCGCCACACCCCTCGCACGTCCTGTCCCCCCCCATGCAGAAGTCGAGGCGCGGCCTCGCAGGGCGCCCGAGGATGTCGGCACGCCCCTCGCACGCCTCGTGCCCACGAGGGGGAGCTCCACGCAGAGCACCGGTGGGCGCCAGCGTTTGCCACACTCCGCAGATCTTGCTGCACCGTCACGCGCGTCGTGCCCCCATACTACAAGAAGACCAAGCCACGTAAACATAAAGTTTGGGCGCTCCGCGCAGGTTTCTTGGATTCGCGCTGGACCCCCCTCCCTGGCGCGCGGAGCGCGCCGGGGGCGGCGCTGGAGGCGCCGCCAGGGGGCCCAGGCGCGGATCCAAGAAATCCGCGCGGAGCGCCAACAGTTTATGTTTCTGTGGTTTTTCTTCTTCGGCATACGGGGCTCCACCTGCGGCCCAAGTGGGCGCCAACGCATGCCGCCCCCTCGCCCTCCTCCTCCTCCTCCTCCTCCTCCTCCTCCTCCTCCTGCTACTCCTCCTCCTCCTCCTCCTCCTCCCTCCTCCCCTCCCCTCCTCCTCCCCCATGCCGCCCCCCCCCACTTCTTGCACACCTCTCACACGCTGCGTGCCCCCGCAGGGAGGTCCGCCCGCGGCCCCCGGGGGGGGGGGTCCGCATACCGCCCCCCCCCCCCCCGCTCAATTGCGGCACGCCGCCCCTCGTCGGTGGTTCAAAGGCGGGGGGTCCTGAGGGTCGGGGTCCTGAGGACAGGAAGGGAGCCAAGGGTGGATCTGCACTGTTCGAGGCACCTCGTCCTCAGGACCCCTGTCCCTCAGGACCCCATCTCTGAGCCTCCGGCCCTCAGGGATCTCAGACCGCCCCGGCGCACCTGGTGCACAGCATCCCATCCGCAGTTTCTCGAACTCCCTCCCCCCTTTTCGGGGGGCACAAAGGTGGTTTGGGGCAAAAGTAGGGTCGGAGAGGACATCGCTCCAAACGGCCCCTGGAGTAAGGAAGCGCGTTGCACGGGACCATCCAGCCAGGCCCGTTCCCCAGCCCCACCTTGGGATAAACCTCCCTCTGCGAACCCCCGACTTTCGTGGCGCGCGGTATTTTTGTGAGAATAGGGCCACGCTCTGCGTTGCACGCGGCTGCACAGGCTTGGGTCCTCGGCCGAGATTAATACTGCGCGTCGTCTTGCCACTACTTCTGTTGCCCCCTACTCCCCCGTCCACAACCTGCTCCATCCGGCCTCCTGGAAGCCTCACGCCCGTGTTGAAACGCAACACGGTCCGTATGCAAGACGTCCATGCCGATACGCTCCGTGTTGGCTCGGCACGTGTTGGCCTCACGTTTTGGCGAACTCACCGCGCCAAACCTTCCGTTTCCGATTTGAGTGTTGATCACCTGAAAAACGGCCGCAGAAGCGGCGATCTGATTTTTCTGTCGATTTGGCCCGACCTGGACACAACGCGATATCGCAGTTTGTCGTTCGCCACATCGCTAAAACTCCAACGCTGAATTGCGCGCATGGGTCCGCAATACACACCCTACCAGACCTCGCCATGATGCACCGCGATACGCTGCCTCATCCGCCCAGAAATGGTCGACGCCATCAGCGTCCGATTTTTACCTCCGATTTTGCGTCCGATTTTGCGTCCGATTTGCGTCCGATTTTGCGTCCGATTTGCGTCCGGTTTTTGTCCGATTTTAAATCCGATTTGCGTCTGATTTGTTTTAGTATTGAATCGACACACAAAAAATCGGACGCGAAATCGGAAGCGAAATCGGTCGCAAAATCGGTCGCTGCTGGGCGCACTTCCGGGCGCTCTTTCGGGCGCTCTTCCAGATTCGCGCCTGGGCCATATTCTGGGCACTCTTGATGGCGCTTTCCTGGGCGCTGTTCTCGGCACTCTTCTTGGCTCGCCCGGGCGCTCGCCTCAGCGCGCTCCCAGGCGCTCTTCCGGGCGTTGTTTTGGTCGCCCCCAGCGCACCTTCTGGGCACCAGGCGCGCGCCACATTTGCAATGTGAAAACCGAAAAACCAAAAAAATCAGAAGCAAATCTGCTCTGCCACCGCGGCGAGGTTAGTGTTGAGCCCCGTGTCCACAAGCTGCGGGTTGCGTGTTGCGTGACGGGGCAGCTATGCATAGCTGCCCCGACACACCGTGTGTTGGTTGTCTCGGGCCTCTCTCTGGGGCCGCTTCCAACATCTTGGAACCCAGGGGCCAGGGGTCGCCCGTGAGGGGCGGTTTGCATCCAAGCAAACCGTCCGTCTCGGGCGGTTTGCCGAAACCAAAAAACCGACAGGGAAGCCCCGCCGCAGGGCCGCCTAGCGCCCCTTTTCGGGCTCTCCCCACGCCCCTAGATACGTGCCCCCAGATACGCGCACGCCCCTACACACGGCGCGCCAATCCCTGCGCGCGCACGCAGTGCTACTCAAGCCGCCTCTGGGCTCGTGACATGCCGCGCATTGTGCCGCCGGGCGCCTGACGCGCGTCTGTCTTTTTTTCAAAACAGCGGAGGAGGAGTAAGAATTCAGCTTCGGACTATGCTTCCAAGACTTCCCCGAGAAACCCCAGGCCCTCCAAATGTGGCCAAAAACAATCCCAGCAAAAGCCTCAACCCTTCCCTCTCTCACTCTTCAACCTCGTGTCCTCCCCGCCCCCCCGCGCTTCCTTCGACAGCCGACGGCGTGACTTGCTCCAACCGTGGGCCCAGAGCTCCCCACCCTCTCCAGGGGGAGCCACCTTCCGTTCCAGATCCACGTCTGAGTGCCCCTGGGCCCGACGAAACCTGCCCCAGGGGCCGAAGCGCCAGGATGATGAGAACAAAACCAAGATTCGGCTGTCTGCTTCGCCGCCATTCGCCGGCCTGCCCGTCCTTGGCGTCGACGCCGTTTCTCCTCCGCTTCCGCACGCCGGCCTGTGTTGCATCTTCGGGGGCGGCCACGAGGGGGGCGTCCAAGAGGGGGGGGGCACAAATCATGGCCAGCGGCACGTGCGCGGCCCAGGGGGTGGGGGGGCAGGGACGTAATGAAATAAGAAGAGGCGCCCTGAAATCTGAGGAAACATCATGGCCCACGCCATGATATCCACCCCCCCTTGTTATCACCCCCCTCTCGGCCGCCCCCGACATTTGTCTCCGAGGCCTCTCGGGGGGGGCGGCCCGGTCACAGGTCCTCCTGGACAACCTCCCGCGACCTCTGCAGCCACGCGCTCCACACATCCTCGGGGGGAGATGTCGCGGGTGGGCCGCGGGCAGGTCGGGAGCAAGTCACGGGGCGAGACGGCGGCAGGACAAAACAACCGTAACCCGGATAATGGAACCCGGAACCTACCTCACTTCAGGCAGGAGGAGGAATGGAGGAGGAGGAGGAGGAGGAGGAGGAGGAGGAGGAGGAGGAGGAAGAGGAGGAAGAGGAGGAGGACGGACGAAGTTGCTGCGGGATCGAGGCCCCGAAGGAACAGCGGACTGCATCCACGGAAATTTCGGTACAGGGGCGCAGGGCCGCAAGACACCGTCGCCCACTGCATAGGGGCCCAGGGACACTCCAAATAAGCAGATACAGATCTCAATATTCGCTCATATTTCCCTGCGTCTTCCAGAATCTCGTCCTCCCCCCAGGTTCCCCCGTTCTCGTAAAACCTCGTGGAGGCGACGATGAATTGTGTCTGTGTGCGTGCTTCCCCCTCCTGGCTTTGGAGGTCCCCCAGATTTTCTTGGGCCCGGCGCTGGATCCACCCCCTTCTGGCGGCGCCCCCGCCGCCGCTCGCGGCGCCAGCCGCGCACCAGAGAAGGGTGGTCCAGCGCCGATCCGAGAGACGACGCTTATATTAAAAACGATAACGCGAGTCATGTTGGTGAGTGGGTGGGCTCGTGCCAGCCAACTGACGCGCGTTATGCTTGCGACGTTGGGTTTTTAAGAGCACGGGAAGACATCGACACACGCACACGCACACGCACAATCACACACACACACACACGCACGCACGCACGCACGCACGCACGCACGCACGCACGACGCACAGGCACGCACGCACGCACACGCACACGCACACGCACACGCACACGCACACGCACACGCTCACGCACACGCACACGCACACACACACGCACACGCACACGCACACGCTCACGCACACGCACACGCACACGCACACGCACACGCACACACACCGGTAGAGGGAAACAATTAGTGAACACCCCCCCTGCCCCCCAAACCCAAAGTTGGCACGCGGGGGGGAGACTGCGGTCGAGGTGCAACTCATCAGACCCACCGCCAACTTTGAACACTGGGGGGAGGGGGAGGCGTTCGCAGATGCATGTGGCACGAGTGTTCGCTAATCTTTTCCGAGGCCTGACGCATCTCTTGAAGCAAAGCAGTGCAGGGCTCCGAACGTCCAGGTCAGTGCAGGTCTTGCGGGGTCCCAGGCTCGGGCAGCGACGCCTGGGCACATTTGTTCGCCCCGGCTTGTTGGGCGCTCCTCCTCCTCCTCCTTCTTCTTCGTCTGCTTCTCCTCCTCCTCCTCCTCCTCCTCCTCCTCCTCCTCCTCCTCCTCCTCCTCCTCCTCCTCCTCCTCCTCCTCCTCTTGGCGAAGGACCCAACTGCACGCAAGCGTGGGTACCGCAAGGCAGCTGGGGCGAAGGGGGGCTCCCTGCGGGGCCACGACGCGTGCGTTGGGTGCACCTAAGAGGGCGGGGGGACGCATGCGATCCCTGGCAGAAGAGCCGTGGATGGAGCTCCCTGTGGGGCCACGAAACGTGTGAGGGGTGTGCCGTAGTGTGCGGGGAAACACATGCGAACCCTGCCGCACAAGCCTTCCGTGGAGCTCCCTGTGAGGTCACGAAGCGAGAGGGGGGTGTGCCGAAGTGGTCAGGGTACGCATGCAAACCCTGCCACAAGTGTCTTCGGTGGAGCCCACTGTGGGGCCACGAAACGCACGAGGGTTGTGCCGAAATGGGCTGGGGAACCGCATGCGAACCCTGCCACAAGAGCCTTCGGTGGAGCTCCTTGCGGGGCCACAAAACCTGTGAAGAGTGTGCCATTAGGGGGAGATGCGTGCGAACCTTGCCATGGCAGCCTTCGGTGGAGCTTCTGTGAGGCCACGAAGCGTGTGAAGGATGCGACGAAGTGGTCAGGGTACGCATGCGAACCGTACCACAAAAGCCTTCGGTGGAGTCCCTGTGGGGCCATGAAAAGTGTGACGAGTTCCGCCGAAATGAGCGAGGTGGGCGCGCACGAACCCTGCCACAAGAGCCTTCGGTGGAGCTCCCTGTGGGCCACGAAACATTCAAAGAATGAACGAATGCAAGCCGCATGCCGAAGCACATGGGCAGTGATGCAACACTATGGGCAGTAGTGCCGCACAGCGGCTCTCCAGGCTTCTGCTGGGATAGCCGCGAGCTGGTGAACGTCATACGAACTGCTCCCACACACTCTCTTACCATTCTTATATGGCTCATTTGTCCAAGACTGCTTCGGCCTGCCCTGGTGGCGTCTGCCGGCCATCGGACGCAGGTCCGAAGAAGACGGCTGGAAGACCGCCCGCCGCAGCGGATGATCGTCCGGTTGCCGGGCGATCTGCTCAAAAAGACACAATTGACGGTGCAGGAGGATGCGACTCAAGGGCTGCTGGTGGGCCCTATCCAGCACTACGGCGTTGGAAATGCGACTAATGTACAGTATGGATGCGTAATTTCAGATGTCTTCCGCAGACGCATCACGTAGAAGCTGTCGGTTTGGGGCAACTCAAGGACGCGCCAACATGAGAGGCGAAGGGCGCGCCAAAATGAGTGGGGGACGCATGCGAACCCTGCCACAAAAATCTTCGGTGGAGCTCCTTGTGGGGCGCCGAATGGTGTGAGAGGTGCGCCGACAAGGGCGGGGGGACGAATGCGATCCCCAGCAGAAGAGCCGTCGGTAGAGCTCCCTGTGGCCACGAAGCGCGTGAGGGGTGTGCCGTTGTGGGCGGAGCGACGCACGCGAACCCTGCCGCAGGAGCCGTCGGGGCCACGAAGCGCGCGAGAGGTGTGCCTTCGTGCGCGGGGGCACGCATGCGAACCCTGCCACAGGAGCCTCCTGTGGAGCTCCCCATGGGGCCACGAAGCGCTTGAGGGGTGTGCCAAAATGGGCCCGGGGACGCATGCGAACCCTGCCAGTGGGGCCTTCAGTGGATCATCCGATGGGACCACGAACAGAGTGTGAGGTTTGTGCCGAGACGGGCCTGGGAACGCACGTGAATCCTGCCCCTGGTGAGAAAAGCTCAAATTCCCCACTGGCTAAAACAGGGCTAGGATCGGGATAAATCGCTCCAGAGCGTTCCGGAGCGCTCTCAAAGCGTTCGGGAACGCTCTGGAGCGGCCGCGGCGCCCAGTACATCCTCCAAACCCGCCGATTCTCAGAGATTTCGAATTATCCCGATCCGATTTTGTCCCGATCTTCGCGTCGTTTTACTGGCCTCCATCCACCTGGGATGGAGCGAAGATGTCCGGCCCTTTGGGCCAACCCGGGCACCCGCAGAGTTCCCTGCGCGCAGACATGGCAGCGGGTGGCGCGAGGCGCAAGCAGAGAGGGCAGGAGTGTTCCGAGGCAGATACTGCCAAAACCTGATCGGACAAGAACGGGAAGCGCCGCTGTAGCCTAATGGGCGCATTGGGCTAAGAAGAAAAGGAAGGCGAGGGCAACGAGGAGTCGATGACGAGGACGACGTGGCGAACGTGAGGATAGCGAGGAGGAGCGTGAGGACAACGATGAGGAAGAGAAACACAAGGACGAGAAATCCGCCGACCCCGCCTGCCGGGGGTGAAGAAGGCGCGTGAGACGATTGGCTGTCCCCCTCCCCCTTTCCCCATCCACCCAGGGTCCCAAATGCCGTTGATGGGGGACGAACAATGAAATAAACCTAAAAACTCGGAAGCGCGCGGATTTCTTGGATCCGCGCTGGAGCCCCTTCCCTGGCGGGCAGAGCGCGCCAGGGGCTGCGCCGGAGGCGCCGCCAGGGCGGTCCAGCGCCGATCCGAGAAATCCACGCGGACCTCCAAGTTTTTGTGCTTATGTCATTGTTGCCCACGAAGCCTCCAAGACAGCCCAGAAGTGCTCCCAGAGGACCGCCGAGGAGGGCCCCAAGATAAAACAATCGTCCCCTTTCCCGTGGGAAAACGCACAGTTTGAGCAAACTCTACCTCTTCAACTTGACAGCGTCCCTGCCGGCCCAAGGGGTCTCCAAGATCGTTCTCGGACGGCCTGCGGGGCCCCCAGAAAGGGCCCCGAGACGGGCCAAGAGGGCTCCAACACGACCCCACGTGCCCGCACGATAGCTCAAGAGAGCCCAAGTGGGCCCCACAAGAGGGAATACGAACTGACATCTCGAGCCTTTCCCGCCAAGATAACCCCGAGAACTCCCCAGACAGACACCCCCGAAACGCCACAAAGAAGCCCCGCAAGGCCTCCAGGAGGCCTCGAAGAGGCGCCCACGAGGCACCCAAAAGGCGTCGGCAAGCCTTCCACATGCCCCCAGGAGCACGCCAACAGGCCCCGGCCCATGGGAAGCATCCCACGCCACCCTCCGATGCTGTCAACAAGTTGCTGAACTGCAGCCCGGGCACAGTGACGGGTTGGCCGAAGGCCACTCGATCCGCCGCCTTTCGTGATTTGTCACAAGGATATACGGCGTGCCAGATTTCGTATTCTCCTCTCCTTCTCCTTCTCCTTCTCCTTTCCTTCCTCCTCCTCCTCCTCTTCCTCCTCCTCCTCCTCCTTCTCCTCCTCCCCCTCCTTCGGGGAACCGCATGTGAACGCAGCCACTGGGTCCTTGGGTGGAGCTCCCTATGGGAACACGAAACGTGTGAAGGTGTGCCGAAATGGGCGGGGGACCGCCTGAGAACGTCGCCACTGGAGCCTTAGGTGGAGCTCCCTGTGAGGCCACGAAACGTGTGAGAAGTGTGCCGAAATGGGCGGGAAACAGCATGCGAACGTCGCCACTAGGGCCCTACGTGGAGCTCCCTATGGGGCCACGGATCGTGTGAGGAGTGTGCCGACCTCGGCGGGGAACAGCCTGCGAACGTCGCCTCTGGGGCCTGAGGTGGAGCTCCCTACGGGGCCACGAACCGTGTGAGGGTGTGCCGAGATCAGCGGGGAACCGACTGTGAACGCAGCCACTGGGTTCTTGGGTGGAGCTCCCCATGGGGACATGAAACGTGTGAGGGTGTGCCGAAACGGGCGTGGGA